GGTTTATCCAACTGTATCGCATTTCTCTTTGACCCGGCTATCCACAATGCTTTACAAAAAATGAAGAAGGATCTTGTCGATAGTTATGGCTACGAGAAGCCAACAGATTCCAGAATTACTGCCACCATCGGCAACCCACCCTTATCATCAGGCAACATATCCATCCAAAATTCTCTTATTGGAAGTTTGCATTTCATTCGTGGCTCAACGGTTTCTCCCGCTTTACCGACACATAATCCCTCTTCACCAACATTTCATCCACCTCACGCTCCTAATTTATCGTTTACTCCTAATAATTTTCTTCCGCATCGAATAGCCGTGAAACGTGAAAACAAGAAAAAAACCAACAGAATCTTACAATGGCTTGTTCGTACGTTCTTAGATACAAAAAAGGAGCCCGTAAGGTTCTCGATTTTACAACCGCGATTTGAAAAACATAATATACCAACGCCGAATAATCCCGTCGGCACTTTACCTAGGCAAAGTCTAAGCGCCGAAAATTATAATAATTATGTTCCAAAAGATTTCAATACGACTCTGACCGACAAAATCGACGAACAGGCTCAGCAACCTCTTGATCAGACGGAATGTTCTGTAAAAACCCCTTCCACGATTGCATGTGAATATTATTCTGATTCCAACACACCAAAAACTATCAGTAAAGGTTCCAATCCTGACCTCCCAACCTGCATATACATTAGTCCTCCTCCCGGTGATGTCATAGATATAATAGAAATAGATTCGCGAAGACACAATCATTCCAATTCTATAACTTCCATTGCATCAAGAGATTCGGTCGATAATGATTTATCGGTATATTAGATAAAGATATCGTGTATTTTAAAATAACATAGCGTACACACACAACCTCTGAAAAAATAAACAATGAGGATATAATAGAGTCAGTTTATTAACGTGACTACAAAAGAATTTAATGCACAACCATGTTCTTCAAGGGCAGTAATTAGCAACTCTAAAGCCTGCAACCGCATATTACTTGATTCTATATTTATCAATATTTTTATATATTTTTTTAGAAATGTAAATAATATATATATATATATTATTATTATTATTATACAGTATTATTGAGATTATAAAACTTAAAAACTCAAACAATATTTTAATTAAATACGGTGCCAATATAATGTGAGATAAAATAATTTTTTTTAAAAAAAGAAAACAATTATTATATACAGTATATATATATAAATATAAATCATCAATTTAAAAACATGATTTTAATATTTAATATTTACAATTTTATAAAACCTTATAAAACCTGCTATGAGATTCTTAAAATCCTCTCAAGACTTTTTAAAATTTTAAATACAAATACGCTTAAAAAGGTTATGCATATTCACAATGGTAATGGACAGGTACTGTATATTAAAGAAATGTTGATTTTTTGAAATTAAATAAAATTTAGAATAGTTTTTCTTTCTTTCTTTTTCAATGTATACCGTATAATTATTTATTTTCCATAAATATAAAAAAAATATATTGAATCCATATAAAAATAATTTTTAAAAAAGAGGATCAATAAAAAACATATTTTTTTAAAAAAACTTTTTTAAGATCCAAAATCATTTATAATTTCAAATTTAAATTTCAAGTACTTGACATCCGTCAAAAATTTGATAATCCCCGTGCATCTTAATTAGCTAATCAAACCAATTTTCTTTTGAGCGTAATTATTTGTAGAGTTAAGCAAAGGCATGATTTTTCTGAACACAGAGATTTGACATTAGATAGCCTTGAGTTGCAAGTTTGTGCCATTAAAGGACCTTTCCCACGACCGTTGCCATGTTTAGAAATATCAATGGTATATGTAAAGCCGATATGAATTCCATATTTCCTAATAAGGAGTCCTTGATCCACCGAGCTTCCTTGATCTCATATGGACATAAATGTTACTGTTTTTAACGATCCCTCCAAAGAGCACCAGTGCTCCTTTGATAAATTCTTTTACTCCGAACTCCCTGTTTAAGATTCAGGCACAACAAGGTACAAAAATTGATAAACACGGTCATATATTCGTTCTTCATATGTAAATAAATCCTAATTGGGATTCTCAAGAATTCATATGGCGTTTTACGCCTTGGCGTTGAAACTTCAAATCTATGGGATTGTCGGTAAGTGGATCTCAACGGTAATCCGTTTGAGAATTGAAAAATATAAAAAAGTATATAGTAGCAACATAGTTGTTAAAGTAAATTGATATAAACTAAGATGAGATATATTGTTATAAAGAAAGAAGAAAAATTTCCTCTCTTACCATGGAATATTTTAATTATTATCTATCTGAACGAGAAATTTTCGGTGATATTTACCATAAATACGACATGCACATTATATGTTTAACTACAGTATCTTGCTAATATACATTTGTAAAATACAGTATATCGATAAATAATGGATGTACTCGTAGAGCAGGTTCTATTGTATTTCCATTATAATTGGATAAAATGTAAAATTGTGGGGTACGCAACCCTGACCACAAAGAGACATTTCACCGACCGAATCCAAGACAAAAAAAAATAATGGTGGCGTTACCCAATTAAGTAGATCGCTCATAGAAAGGCAAAGGGCGATAGCAATCATGGTGTGTTAATTTCTCCACAAACTCATTGTTATATAAGAAATGAATTTGGGATCTATCATGAATATCACGTAAATCCTGGGCATTACTCATCTGCTTTGAATCTAAACAATGAGATGTTAAGTCTTACGACGAGTAGAAAAAAGATTCCCACATCGTTTACCCGTACGCCTAACTTCTTTAGTGCGCAATAACGGTTTTTTTGGCGCGTCCCCAATGTTAATCAATGATGCAAGGATCATAATGTGGAACTACTATTATAGACTAATTTCCGAGGCTCACTTCTTCGATGAAGATCTTTCTCATTTCAATGAGCCCAAAAACATTTGAACCCATATGATATTCCTGTGAGCAACCCAAAATTCATCATAACGGGTCGTTTTTTTCCCTCGGATCCATATGCCTCGTCTTCTTTTTATATGCCAAGCGTCTTGCACTTTGGTTTTTCAACATAAAAATTTTCTATATCTTGATCACATCCGAGCCCTCCGGCATTATTAAAAAAAACTAAGCAAAGATATTAAAGAACATTTACGTATTCATCAATTGCAAGTAACAAACAAATTGGATTTTATGAATAATCATGGGCAAAGCTCAATCGAAATACAATAGAAACCGTTCCCAATCCTGCACGAATCCAACCAGAGATCGCGAATTTTGTGGCAAAAGAAAGTACTCGATATCTTCTTATGCCCTTCCCTTGAACAATAACGAAGTGGACAGGTTGACGTCGCAACATTATATCTTTAACAATATATGGGGAGGTGACTTTTCTTCGCCCGTTCATGGTCTGTTAGAAAGCGATGGGGCAAAAGTCTTGGACGTAGGGTATGTCAAGGATGTACTGTAATCCAAACTTTTCTTTTGATGTCTCATTAATTATTTGTTGCTTGTTTAAAGATGCGGTCCAGGAGTTTTTGTGCTCGAGATGGCAAACCGGTAAGTTCTATTGAGAACGAATCGAGGTCCTTTGAAACTCGGATGTAAACTAACGCGATTGCTGACGTGCATCGCAGATATCCAAAAACCTCATTCACTGGCATAGATATTGCGGACGCTTACCCACATTTTATCAAACCTGAAAACACGTCATTTAAAAGAGCGAATATTACCAATGGATTACCGTTTGCTGACAACTCTTTTGATTTTGTATATATGCGCTTCATGATGTTTGCCCTCAAGATAAAAGAGTGGCCGTTTATAATTAATGAGGTAAGTAATCGTGCGACCTTATTCTCTAGATCTTTTATTCGACAATTAATTTTGATTACTTTTATATCTTAGCTTGCTCGTGTATGTAAACCCGGAGGTTGGATCGAAGTGATGGAAAGGTAATTTTGATCATGATTTATTGGTTATCATTCAAAGTTGTTCATTTCAACTTTACTCATAAACGCTCTCGCTTCATAGGGATATTTACTGGTACAATGAAGGAGAGAGAACAAATAAGTGGAGAACAAAGGGTAAGTAGGGCAAAATAAATGTAATTCAAATATTCTTTACTCAAGTCTGATCACTCGTTCAATACATAAAATAGTTGTTGAAGGATTAAGAAATGAGAAAGGAATTGAACTGAGCATATGTTCACACATTCCTGAATTTTTCAAAGCAAACGAGCAACTAACTAATTTCGCGAGTGACGAAAGAATACAACCACTGGGATCTTGGGCTGGTACAGTAGGCAAGTTCTCATTGCAGAACGGTGGATTTTTTTTTTTCTCATTTCCTTAAAAATATGCTCACCTATGATCGGTACTTATAATAATAGGTAAAGCCTACGCACAAAGCATTATGTGGGGAGCGAAGAATCTATCCCAGGCTATATCAACCATAAGCTTTGAAGAAGGAGAGTATAAAGAGTTGGTGGGAATAGCCATGAAAGAACTTGACAAGAACAAAGCTTTTGACAAAAGTCATCGATTTTGGGCCATGAAAAAGCCCCTGTAAATTTCACTTGTTGTTATATGTATCATAGTATATATGTATTAAAAACATACGAATGTCACCCAGTAAAATTTTATGTATGTATAAATCTTTATTGCTTCAACGGGAAATAATGTTAGAGAATGGTTTATCCCCTACCAAGTTTGACGTAAACTATTACACGGTAAAATGGTCTGGCCATTTTAAATTACTGTATTACGCCACCATTAAATTTAACCATTGTTTATGTAAGAAGGAATTTATTGCAATTGAATAAGAAATATACAGTACATCGAAGAATAACCACTCCACGATCTAAATGAACTATAAAGCCCCCGTACCATCGAAATCCATCACTCCATGATTCTTATCAGTGCCATGAGGGTCAAATAATTTCTTGATACTCCAAAATTCAAACCAACCTTGATACCTCAACCAAAAGATCGTGATGGCCAATACGACTATCAAGATATAGGTTGGTGAAATCTGATCTAATCTAGACTTTTCGTACATTCCCTTCAATTTTTTGGTCGAAAGTTTAGCAACATCAGACGGGTTTTTAGGAGCTTTCTTTTCATACTTTTCATGGTGGTGTGTATTTTGATTCAATTCGGGTTTTCCTTTTTCTCGATGCGTTTGATTCAATTCAGGTTTCCCTTTTTCTCGATGCATTTGATTCAATTCAGGTTTTCCTTTTTCTCGCTGCATTTCGTTTTCGAAGGCGTCACCGGGTTCCATTATTTTCTAATTTTGATAAAAAAATTTCAAGATTACATCAAAGCTTCTTGATCCTGGCGTTAAATAACATAGATTACTCATACTTTCTAAATAATAAAATTCGACTTTTTGCAAATTCAAGAGAGTGTGTGTGTGCTCAATTAATTATACAAGTAAAGATTCGTGAGAGACAAAGAGTTCACTTTGTCGATGTTTATATATCACTGATGAAAGACTTCATGCTGTCATAAGGTTGCGTAAAAATTATGTGAAAATGACGTAGTTTTTTTTTCGTAAAATCTTTTTTATTGCAAAATCATCTTTGCCAAAATGAGTCACCAAAAAGTTTACTTTTCTTTTTACGCTTTTTTTATGTGTATGTCTATTGCTATTATAATTATTGTTTCTATTATAAATTTCTTTCTTCCTTTCTTCTTATGATTGTTTATGATATGGCATTAGGAATCGTGACCTCGTAATTTCAAGTGAATTACCTCATCATCGCCTTATTAAACTTGAGTTTACACTTCGGGATAAATACAGTATACGGACGGTAGCTGTTCCCAATCCTTGAGTGATCAAATCAAAATTATCCTGTTTAAGGTTCAGACAAATGGGTTGATCTTATAAAAAGCTCATGTAGAACTAACTTCTCTCGGGCTTTAGGAGTTTCGTTGAATTCTGACTACAACGCCTTCCTCCCAAGCAAGGTTATGGCATCTCCACGAATTTATGAAATTCGAATAATCAAAAAAACATACATAAAACTCTAGAATTGTTAAGTTGACAATGAATGACATCACTTTTTTCTTTTCCAAAGCACTTCTCTGCGTCAGAAAGACTGGTGAGAATCAATCTATTTGATAAAAAAAACCCTTTCGCCAGAGAAATTCGCTAATAGGCAATGGTCTCAACTGGTCAGGGAAACTGACGACATTTTTCTGCGTAGATGGTTAGATGAGGTCATATTTGTATAACGTCATTTGGTGACGCATAGCTTACGCTGTCAATTTTATTTATAGGTAACCACTCAAAATCATTTTACTTTACAATCTAAACAAAAAGGTCGAGTGGATGAAACCAATTGCTATGTATACAATAAAATAAATAAAAATTTACACTGTTCTTTTTCGCATCTTGCTTAGTGCATTATTGAATAATTCGCGTCGTATGAATGAATAATTCTTATCTGATGAAAATTGTTCAAAGTCCGAGTCACTAATTACAATTGTTGGAGTAGATGGCGATGCACATCTGCATTTAGGTGTGGTGGAAGTGTTGGGAGGGACTAAATAAGAGGTTGGAGATAGAAGTGTGTTCGTCCCTTCTATACTCGTGGAAGTATTAGGTGTATTCGGGGGTGCCAGAGGTGAGGTTGACGGTGTCATTGCCTTATCTGAACTGACACCAGTGGGTGTGATGTCTCGGCACCTACCATATTCCATGGAGTCGGGTGTTTTCGGAGTGTTGGGTGGTGGTCTGGAATAGGGGAATTGCTTGAATCCCGCATTTGGTGTTTGAGGTGAACGAGATAAATTTTGTTGAATCTTCGGTGTGCACGAAGTGGGCGGTGGAGCGCTGATGCAAAAATATGCCGAACCCATCGGTGTTGGTGGTTCGGCGTAATCCAATGGTGCAGTCAAAGGTGTGTCGGGAATAGATCGAGTCACGTGTTTGTGACTATTTATCCATTCCAGCTCGTCATTATCTGTCGAACTGGCATCGTCAAATTCTTCCCATTCTTCTTTCTTCACATTACTCATCTGTTTACCTCTAAAGAAAGAACCTATGATCTCCTTTGCGGCATCTTCACTAACGGCCTCCGCCAGCCTCTTGACAAATCTTCCCGGAACTAACCCTTCAACAAACTGTTCATCACTCAAGATACCAATTCTCCTTTCTTCTGCTGATAGGCCAAAATAATAATATACCAAGATTTCGTCCACGGCAGTACGGTACGGTTCGTAAAGGTCCAGTAGCGTAGAGAAATTGAGCAATGAAAAGAAATCCTGGTGAGATCGAATCTTCGATGCCAGCGAAGAAGTCAAAGTATCTCTCATGTCTGCCGCAGTATATAACCAATCCAAAAATGCATCAACGAGAGCCAAACCGTTAACCGGATTCACCGGGGCTTCTATACAAAGCATTGGTAATCCATCGGCCTCTTCGGCCAACTTTTGCTTTGATGTTTCCTCATAATTTAATGACGAGTATGATGCTAGACGGGTGTATTCTGTGGAAAGGCCATAGAAAAGAGTCGACTTTTGCATGAGCAGGTTTGATTGCTTTACACTAATCTTGTAAGTACGCTTTAAATTTGGATCGCTCAACGTTGTGATTTGAAGAGAAAAAAGTGATGTGGTTGGAAGAATAGCGGATGGAGATAAAATCTGTGCTGCATTGGAGACAGCTTCTAGAGGAAGAGCCTTGATGCTAAGGGATGTGGTCTTGACTGGCATCTTGATTTGGTGTTTGCTATTAAAAAAATATATGAAAATAAATGAAAGGTAGTGTGAAGAGTGTCAAAAGATCTACTTTTGCGTGCAGAATGAAAGGTAAGAATTTTCTCGCAGAGAATGCCTTCGGATTCCCAAAATTATGGTTCTTGGTAGTATTTATTAATTTTGCTCAGTAAGCACCCATGGTCTGACAACAATATGGTATGTCATTTAAGGTTCAGGGTCACATTATCTAAAACTTTCGGTTATAAAATGGTTTTTGTTCCTTGTATCAGAATAAAATGCAGTTATTATAGTCTATGTGCCAATTACCTCGAGGCTCCTTGTCTTTCTTGGTCGACGCCTATTTAGTTAGCATTGTTTCAAAAATATATTGAATTAGGGAGAGCATTGCTTACACGTATCACATTCGAGAATCATTTTTATTATTCTCAAATCTCTCCGTATAGGTTTGATGTACGAACACCAATCAGGAAATCCCTCAATGGGATATAAATTTTCGATATTTGCATCCAAAACCCAAATGTCCATTTTAGGACATGAAAATGGATGACCCAGGTAAAGTTAATGTTAAGTTTGTAACGATGATAACATTAGTTCAATTGAGGATACTGTATTTCTCTTTTCGGACATTTGGAGTAATAATATCATGTTGCTCAAGATACAAATTACGGAAATTTTTCAATTAACTAATAATTTAAATAATTAATAATATATACAAAACAAATTAAACTAATAAAACTGTCCAATCTTCAGAAAATTCTACATTCTTAAATTTTATTATTCATGGAGCACAGACTATGCAATTTAGAATTTAAGAGACTTTGGTCACTCGAAGCATCGTAGCACAATTAATGAATTCATAATTTTGCTGAAATCCGAACGTATAATCCCTTCAAATTCGAAATGAAAATAAAAGACTATGCACGTTGCACAACAAAAAACCGAAATTTTAATAATCTGATGATAAATATACGCATATATTATCATATTATTATTTTGCCAGTTCGTCTTGTTAACCAAATGCAATTCCGTCGATCTGATCCGTTCTCCCTGCATCAGTGTCGGCTTTTCGAGACCAAATTAGGTTGACCAATAGTGTCGCGCGATACTGAATGTATGTCGGTTGGCTTATTTGACGTTATCAATTTTCTTATAATTTCTTTATTAGTTACATAACCTGTTTATTTGTCTTATTATTATTATTAAAAATTTTTGTTAATATAATAAATAATTAAACTTTATATTTTACATTGTTACTGTAATATATTATAAGGGTGTTACAAATTTTAATACAAATCTGTATCAAAAAGTAATTCAAATATCATAACAATACATGTTTTTACATTAATAAAAATATATTACGTAATTAAAAAACTTATTTAAACTTTATTTATTATAAAACAATTCATTATTATGTTTCAAACAAACTCAATTTAGATATAAAACAAACACATTATAATAAAAATTCTGAATATATAAATAACAAATTCAGGTTTAAAAATTATTAAACATAACTATTTAATAAAATAATAATTGTTATTAGGTTTTTTAATTAAAAAAATATTATTAATCAAGTTCTTATATTAATACTGAAATATTTTATTTGAAATATAATACTCTCTTAATATAAATACAATTCAAGTAATAATAAAATCATTTTACTTTTCAATAATTAATAATAATATTTATTTTTATATAAAATGTAAAATTTCTAATATATATAATAAACAAATTAAGCTATAAATAATTAAATGAATTTAAGATCTAAATAGAAAAAATATTACTTGTTAAATTATAAAAATAAGATCTTAATATTTATAAAATCAAGTATAAATTGTTAAAAATATTTTTAATATTGAAATAAATGAAAATTCCTGAAATAAATATAATATATAAATTTCAAAAATATTTCAATCAATTGGAAATATTTTATAAAAAATTAAATTAAATTAATTATTTTTAAATCATTAATAAAAAATATGTAAAACCAAATTTTATTATAAATTATTTAAAAAAAATATATTAAAATATTTTAAAAATCTAAAATATTTATATTTATAATATTTAAACCATATTTTTAAATAATATATTTTTTTAAAAAAAAAAATCTTTCTTGATCATATTTGTTTTATTAAAATATTTTCTTTTATAGTAATTTTAAGCAAAAAAAATATTTAATACTCTTTATCACAAGTGAGCCCCAGCTTAAGAACTTAAAAACCCTTAAAACAACTGGTGCAATAGGATGGGATCTCTGGTCAAAGTTTACTCAAGTTTGAAAGTCTTGCTTATTCTTTAGTTGCATAAGGAAAGACCCATGGCAGTTCTCTTTTCTTTTGTTTTTTTACATCTCTCCTCATTTTTACTATATCACAAAAATCATTCATATCAATATTATTATACTTGTTAAATCAAATACTTTTCAAAAAATATACCCAAACAAAGTTATTGAATCTATTGTTTGTTTTAACACAACCTTTACATATAACTCTATTGTGGTACTATTTACTGTGCCATTTCAAAATCTCAAAAATTTTTTTTCAAAAAACTGAAATTAGTTTATCTCCTTCAGATAATTATCGCTCTTCAATTATTCAATCAGATTTTGTCAAAACAACAAAAAAAAGAAAAAATCAAACCAGTTCAAACCAGTTTTTCAGTATAATAACAATAACAACAACAATTACCACAATAATAAATAATGTCAATTATATTTTACTATTTATATTAACAAAACCAATATTAACAAGTAGTAAGGAATTAGTGGAATAGATCATTAAACCAAACCAGAGATTTGCTTGGAAATTTTACTTTTATTTATATAGATTTTATAGTTTAAGTGACTTAGTTATAGTTTCAGTAGCCTATGTTATTATAGCTCCAATTTATTTTTTTTTATTTTAATTTTTCTTTACTTTTAAATTTCTTTATATCCAATAAAAAAACTGAGTAAGTAGGTATAGCTGCTATTTTACTATATTTAGTATATATAATATTGTTTTAAAATTGTTTTTCAATATTAGCTAGTATAAATATATAGGCAAGCTAATATTTAACTTGTTGTATTTTTGCATACAAGAAATATTGTTTCTTTCATTATATATATAACTTTACAATATAATATTATTAATAAAGAAATGATATTTACCTATCAGAAAAAAAATATATTAAAATCTTTAAAATACTGACCTGTGGATCTATAGCACAGTGGTTAATGCTCCACAGGTCAGATTACAAGATACCAGTTCAACTCCATGTGAAGACAGTTGGATAGTATTAATATGGTATCTGGTGCCGTAACCTGATATGCACTGTTTTTCATGGAAAGCCAGTTCACACGCTAATCCAGTGAGCATTGAGATTGTGACCTCCATAAAAGGTGTAGTGGTGTGACGATCATCAGGATGGTGACCCAATAATCATTGGCATAGCTGAAAACCCACCCACATATTTGGAAGTACAAACTGGGCTGTACTCCATCTTAATCAATCCCAAGTCACAAAATCCTTTCCTACTAACAATTAAAGGTAAGAAGCCTTGAAGAAAACTCTGTATCAACACTAACGTATGGTCATCCTCATGGCGGTCCTAAGGCAAGTTCAATAAAGACACCCTTCTGAAACCATAGCTACGTGAGCGAAAAGATGTGATGTGATAGGTAATCTACTTAAAATAGTTAGCAGGTTCATTGTTCCCGCCTATAGTTGGACTAGTAGGTATGGTGGTTTAAAACTAGTGGTAGGATTTCCATCCCCTAGATAGTCCCCCTGAAAACAATGTGACACACCTCAAGAGTGAACAGCATGTCGACAGGCACAAAAAGTAGATAGGCTAGCATTTAACTATAGTCATAGCATTATAGAGGATGTTTGATATAACAACATTTGTAATTCTAAGAATATGCAATAAAACCCAGTATCTAATGCCATTCTACTATAAAAAAAAAATATAAAAAAATAAAATCTTTAAAATACTATAAATATAATATATATACTGTAGTTTCAAAAATATTTTAATCATTTTTTTTTCAAGTACTTAATAAAAAATATACAAAATTAAATTTTATTATAGGTTATTTAAAATAAAAAAGCTTCAAAATATTTTAAAAACCTGAAATCTTTAGATTTATAATATTAAAATTAAATTTCAAATATTATTAATCTAAAAATTTTTAATTTTTATCTTAAGTAACTTATAATAAAATTTAATTATATATATTTTTTATTAAGTGCTTAAGAAAAATAAATTAACTTAATTTGTTATAAAATATTTAAACTATTTTTAAAATCTTTATTAAAAAATTTAAACTATTTTTAAAATCTTTATTAAAAAATTTTTTTTAAAAAAAAACTTCAAAAATCTTTATTTTCAAAAAAAAATTTTTTGAAGAGTTTCCTCAATAGGTAAACATTATTTCTTTATTTGATATCATATATAATAAAGTATATATTATGAAAAAAACATCTCTTTTATTATTTCAAAAAAGTTAAATATTAGCTTATCTACTTAATATTATCTAACCAATATTGTAAAAATTTTTAAAAATAATATTATAATGCTAGATAAAGTTAAGTAATAACTATATCTATCAACTTAGAAAGTTTTATAAAATCTTTTGATTTTTTGAATATATAAAAATTGAAAAAAAAATAAAAGTAACTGTAACTAAAACTAAGTCAAATAAACTATAAAATTTATAAGTAGAAAATTAATTATTTTTTCAAGAAAATCTTTAGACAAGCTTGTGATTCCATCTCTCCAGTTTTTGATTACCATAGATAATAGAGTATATATAAAGTTGTTTGTTATTATAGTTATTAATGAACATATAATTAATATTGTTGTTATGATACAAAACTGGTTTAAACAAGTTCAGTTTTTGTTTTGATTTTTAAGTGAAATCTGATTGGATAATTAAAAGGTGTTGATTATCTATAAGAGGTAAACTGATTTCAGTTTTTTGGCCAGGTAAAAATGTTGAGAAATTTGAGATAATG